GCCAGTCAATGAAAGAGAAACACCACATGACCTCACTCATTTATGGATAATAAAGAACATTATAAACTGATGAACCAAAAGATAGACATAGAGACAGTAAAGCAACAAGTAGACTGTCAAATTACAGCAGAAAGGATAGGGAAATCTGGGGGAGATAATAGATCAACTGAAGGACTTGTATGCATGCATATAAGTACAACCAATGGACACAAAACTCCGGGGAGGGTGGGTATGTATGGGGGGGGGGGGTGGAAATGGTAAAATATGTACACAGATAATAATTTAATAAAAAATAAAATTAAAAAATAAATAAATTGGCATGTACTTTATTTAATAATATGACAATGTCCATATATACGCGCATATGTTTTAGTCCCATTGGCACCACATAGAGGAGGGCAAGTACATTATTTTTTGTGTTTGAAAGCCAATGACTGCATGTGGATGGGTTACTAAAGCAGGCTCATTATAGGGAAGTATGTTGGATGTATCTGATATCAGACTTTGGCTCAGACTCCCTGCTGGCACTGCCATATTTTCTTAAAACTGCACTGCAGTCTCAGAGCGTTTACCATCCCTCACTCATTCCCTGTCTTCCTCCCTCTCTCTTTTCTTCCTTCTCAGAGGTCAGACCTGAATTGTGTTCTTTCAGCTCTCCCAGCCTCCCTACAGCTCCTTTCCCAGTTTCCCTCACAGATGTGTCTCCCGAAAAATCTCTTGCACATCTGATCAGTCTTGCTGTCTACTTCTCAGAGCATTTGGACTAATGCCTAAAAATTCTATTTGTTTTGGCTCAAAAAATATATAAAACATAGGATAAGGAGAAATTAGTGTAACAATCTCCTAAATTGTGCTTTTAAAATTAAATGAAAGAAACATATGTAAAACGGATTAGATTTAGTTTTTGTCTTAAAACTATTTAAAAACCAGTTTGGCTGAAACCAGTTTGGCTCAGTGGATAGAGCATTGGCCTGCGGACTGAAAGTCCCAGGTTTGATTCCGGTCAAGGCATGTACCTTGGTTGCGGGCATATCCCCAGTAGGGGGTGTACAGGAGGCAGCTGATAGATGTTTCTCTCTCATTGATGTTTTTAACTCTCTATCTCTCTCCCTTTCTCTCTGTAAAAAAATCAAAATATATTAAAAACAAACAAACAAACCAAAAAACCCTCAAAAAAACCACAACCCAGTTTTTTTAAAGACCCACTTCAAAAAAAATTCAATTATCCATTCTATTGATACAGTCTCTTAGCTTAGTCATTTTTAAAATATATATATTTTATTGAATTTTTACAGAGAGGAAGAGAGAGGGATAGAGGGTTAGAAACATCGATGAGAAAGAATCATCGATCAGCTGCCTCCTGCACACCCCCCACTGGGGATGTGCCCACAACCAAGGTATATGCCCTTGACAGGAATAGAACCCGGGACCCTTCAGTCCACAGACTGATGCTCTATCCACTGAGCCAATCTGGCTTCGGCTTAGCTTAGTCTTCATGGAACTCTCTGAGCCTTGGGAGATTTCTGTTTTTACCTTTTTGTTTGCTGTGGGATGTTCTTTGATCTCTAGTTATGTCCTTGGCTCTGGTCACATCCTGTGAGATCTCTTCCTTCTGCTGTTTTACCCCAGCCTTGAAGGGCTCTTCTCTATTTGCTACTCCCTTAGCCTGTGGCAGCCACTACCTTAGGTGGAGACACAATTAGAAAAAGACACAGATTTCTTTGTAGGGAGTTTTCTCATCTTTCCTGTCCTGACTCCAGCTTTTAGTTACTGTTATATACTTGAAGAAGGCCTGTATGCCTTTGTGTAGTTGGGGAGGGAGCACGCTTGTCTGACCACAGCCTTTGGGGCGTTATAACCCTTGTACTAAGTGAGCACCCATGGGTAAGAGGTGGCAAGTAATTGTAGACTCAGGTTATGTACCAAAATGCTTGGTCTCTCTGACTTCATCTTGTTCAAGCTCGCATTGTTCCCATGGCCTTCAGACTAATAGCTACCCTTTAATCTAAGATCTAGACTTGCTTATCATCAGAGGAATTTTGCTTGCAGCCTGAGGACATAAGGGAATTATTCATTTACCAAAGATGTGCAAGAACCTCCTGGCCAGACTCACATCAACTAGCACAATCTTCCTTGAACCCTTGCTGGTCCCCACTTGTCTGCCATGGTCAATCATCTCTCTTCCCTCCTATTTCCTCTTCCTTTGACATAAAATAAGCCTGAAATCTTTACTTTCTTTAAATAGATTTGGAGTTTCACTAGGGTGCCCATCTTCTCAATTGGGGCCTTTTCCCTGATCAATAAAACTTTCCTTACACCAAACTGTGACATTTTGAATTTTGTCCTTTCGAAGCATTGGGCTGGAAACACTGGACTATAAACTGTCACACTAGTCCACATTTGGGCATTAAAAGACCAATTAGTTGCTTTCTTTTTTTAAAATATTTTTTTTATTGGTTTTAGAGATGAAGGGAGAGGGAGAGAGAGATAGAAACATCAATGATGAGAGAATCATTGATTGGCTGCCTCCTGCATGCCCCACACTGGGATCGAGCCTGCAACCAGGACATGTGCCCTGACCACCATGACCTCCTGGCTCATAGGTCGACACTCAACCACTGAGCCACACCAGCTGGGCTTTGGTCAAACATTTAACTAACTCATCTCTAGTGCCTTTTCAGGGCCAAACCAAATAATGTTGAGGGCCTTACTACCGGTAGTATGCCCAAGGGTCGGCCATTCCTCACCCTTACTTTAGTTAGATATCTCTGGGGTCTTAGTTCTCTGATAGGATTTTTTTTTAAAGCTATGTTTTTGTAGTTTATTTAGCTCCTTGTTAGCATGGACTAAATGGTATTTGTAAAATCCTACATCCCAAATCCTAAGGAGAAATCATTGGGTTCCTTTCCCAATTTGCAGTAGTTTCTCTGTTTTCTCTATTAAAGGCCACACTGCTATCAACTCCAGCTCTTGCCTGGCTTCTGCAACTGCTCCCTTAACTTGCCCCCCAGACTTCAGGGAAGTCACAAGTACTTGCTTTTGCTAGGTAAGAGCTGCTTCACCATTCACTGTTGGCTTTCTTTAACCTTGTCCGCACTTTGGAAAAGAGTGGCTTTATTTAAAACTCTTTTCAATTATGCTATTTGAATGAACCATCTCCTTCCTGCTGGGTCCCTGACTGATAGGTGGCATTTCTCTGAGAAAAAATAAAGAGATTAAACCCAGAGGGAGAAGGTTGAAAGTATATTTAGAAAACAGAGAGAGTTGCCATAGTTGGTTGAATATGTTGAAGTGGTGGCAATGTTGGTGACACCCAGAAATGGGAAGGAAGACTAGATTCCCCATGCTAATACTTCTTTAGCACGCCTCTGGCTTTTAAAACGAAAGTCAAAGCATCAAAGTATTGTTGGAGATAGAGAGTAATTTTCCAGATTGATTTTTGGCATCCTTCTTGGTGTCTACGGAAGGTTAACGTGGAATACAAAAGCTGAAGAATCAATGGGGCCTTCTTAAGAGGTGGGGTTTGGAGAGGTAAGGAAAGGGTAGAAAGGGGAGCAGAGAATTACAAGGAGACAAATTATTTTAATCAGCAGATATATTTTATTGAACATATCCTGAGCATTTACTATCATATAGTTTACTCAACATGAATTCTTAGATTCCATGTATGTATCTGAAAATGTCTTTATAAGAACGTTTTTTGGTAGAAGGTACGGTACTATGGTACTATGAAATAACCAAATCTTTTTTTGTTTGTTTGTTTATTATCTTAGTGCCTAGAACAATGTAGGTATTAAAAATTCTTCTAACATCTATGTTAGCTTTACTAACATAGATGTTACTTACTGAGCACTTACCCTGAGCCAGACACTGCAAAAAGTTTGACATAGTGTTAATATCCCAATGTATAGGTCAGGAATCTGAGGATACTGGGTGCATTTCTACCGTAGACAGTGAAGAGATAATTTAATTGACTGAGGAAGTGAAGAATGCCATTAACATTTTTTTCAGTTATTTGTGAAAAAAAAATCTTATTAAAAATTCAGAATTGGTAACCACCACCACCACCAACAACAACAACAAATCTCTCCCCATCTTCTTTTGCATGCACGTTTTCACAAGTTTATTACTATTTTGCAAACCTTTGGGGTAAATCTGACCCGGTAAGACTCACAAGTGCCTTTCCTAGCTTCTGAGAGGAGCAGAGATGGCATCCTCCCCCCTTATCCTCTCCCTCATTACCCTCCTTCTATTTTTCTCCACTTCATTCTCTCTTCCAAATGCTTGACAGTCATTCCTTGACTGCTTCAGTGATTTGTGCCTTCCCTCCTAAAAACAAAACAAAACAAAACAAAACAAAACAAAACAAAACAAAAAAACACTGAAGTTATTGGATTCAATAACTACAAGGTTGGATGCTTCATTTTAAAGATCTCACTCAAAATGGTGCCACGTCACCCGCCTCCGGGGCCTAGAGCTGCGAGTAGCTGTCGGGTTTCTCCCGGGCAGCTCTGATCCCCATCCAGCCCCGCCCCCCAACCCGCCTCACCTGCTCCCCAGGAAACCGCAGCGAGGCCGAGTCCCCAGCTCCAGCTGCGCCTTCCTCCCTGCACCGCGGGCCGCCCCGCCCCTCCCGGATCCGGACTGGCTGAGCGCCCTCATTTGCATATCCCTACCTTTGTTCCCCGCTGGCGGCCAATCAGCGCGCGGGGCGAGGCGGGGGAGCGGGGCGGGGCGCGGGCTCCAGCTGCTGCGGCCGCAGGTTCCCGAGCGGGTGGCAGCCGCCGGGGCGCCGCGCACAGCTCCCAGCTCGCAGCTCCCAGCTCCCAGCTCCCAGCTCCCCGCTCCCCGCGCCCCGCGCCGCGTCCTCCCCGCCGCGTCCTCGCCGCCGCCCGCCGGCTCTCCTCCCTCCCTCCCGCCCGGCCAGGCCCCGCGGGCGCAGAAGACAAAGGAGGCTGCCCACCTTCACCTGCAGCGGCCGCCGAACCACGGGCTCCAAGATGGTTTGCGGAGGCTTCGCGTGTTCCAAGAACTGCCTGTGCGCCCTCAACCTGCTCTACACCGTGAGTGGCCCGAGCCCCTGGCAGCCGGCCGGGAGGGGAGGGGTGGGCTGGCACCTGCTGGGCCCGGGCTCCTGGGCTCCCCTCGCCTGGCCCGCGGCTCCCTGCCTGCACCCCACGCCCCCTTCCCGGCTTCTTCCCCCCCACGCCCTGCGCGCCCCGGGCCTCGCCCGCCGTCACCCCCTCCCCGAAGGCGGCCGGGAGCCGGCGCAGTTCCTTCTGCTCCCGGAGGGTGCAGCCGCCCCTTTGTGGCTCGCCGGCCAGGGTCCCTGCCGTATCGCTCCACCCGGTCTCTTTCTCCCTCCCCTCCTTGCTTTGCATTTATTTGGCCAGACCTTGCCTGGCGCTGACCCTTCCAAAGCCATCTGGGGCGGGTGAGGAGGCGGGAGCGTGGGCTCGGGTTCGAGGGCCCTAGAGAAGCCCCTGGGAAGATCTGGATTCCTAAGTCTCCTGGGTTCTAGCGCCTGACTCGCCGGCCTGTCCAGCTGGGTAAATGTAGGAAGACCCTTTTGGTCTGTTAGCTTATGGATTTAAACAATGCCCCTAGCCTGGCATGGATGCCAGTATGGTTTTGCAAAATAACGTGATCTCTTTGCAGAAATGGTCATCATTGTGGGCTCAAGTAAATGCTTATAAATTATTATTATTATTATTATTATTATTTTTTTTTTTTTTTAAATAACGTGATCTGCCACTGACAGGGTGGCCCGCGGACTCTGCGCATCTAGGTGAGCGCTACGTGCCCCTGGGGTTTCCATCCAGGCCGCACAGGAGGCTCGCAGGATATCCGCAGCTTCCGAAGTTTGTTTTGTGTTTACATAAAGGGATGTCTTTTTTTTTTTTTTTTTTGGTGGTGGTGGGAGGCGGTTTTGCTCCCACTGGATGCTTTTTCCATATGTCTCCCCTCCTATCAATATCCGAACTCCATTTTAAATGACATCGTTCAAGAAAAATAACGTGAGCTCCACCCAAGTCGGTCCCTCTCCCTACCAACCAGCTTGGGCCTTTGGGTTTTCAGGCTGCAGCCTCTCTCTCTGTGGTTTTCGAGCTCAGTTCTGGGTGAACGGAGGATGGGAGAGCAGGTTTCCGCTGATCGACTGCGTTCCACGGTCCCAGGCCTGACCCAGGAGGTTTTTGTTCACCCTACAGTCCTCCACGCCAGGCAAGGGGCATTGTTTCAATCCATGAGATCACAGACCAGAAGGGTCTCCATACGTTTGCATAGCTGGTAAGCAGGCGAGTGAGGCCTTGGAATCCGGATTCCCCCCCACAGGCTTCTCTCTCCCAGAGGGGAGATGACTTCCTCTGCTGTCATCATCCCTCCATCACAGAGGCTGGCTTCCTTCTCTGAATACACCTGGCCTTTTGCAGCCCCCGCCCTGAAAGCAAACCCAGCTCCCCCGCCATGGCGGTGAGCTAGGCCATCTGGGCAGGCTTAGGTTACGTCTTCGGAATGAAGAGGCTGTCCTGTGGTCACCGATAGGCTGGGTCAGTTTACCAGTCCTGGCCCTTTGTAGGTGAAAGGGACTGCAAAGCTTTGAAGGCAGGACAGAAGCTGGAATAGAAGATGCTTTTTCTCTGGTTAGTTAGGAACCTGATCAATATGGTCCCTAATGGTCGGCGTGGGGAAAACAATTCTCCAACACCTCACGTGGTACAGCTCCTTGTAACGGGAGACTCATGGCAGGTTTCAGATTAAAATCCACCTTTGTCTTACCTGAAGCATGCTTATCACGCTGATTATTTATTGAGTAAATGCTGACCAGTTCTCTAGGTATTTCCTTTCATTTCCATGAATGGTCTGCTTCGAACTTCAGATTCATCGTTTTGTGCCCTGACCTCTGCCACTGCCCCCTCCCCCTTCCCCAATGATTTAGTCACCTGTTCCCCAGACACTTAACCTTATAGTGTCTGCTTATAACAAGAAGGTCTACTTTGCATATTACTTGACGGAGATGTCTATATAATGTGTAATATGTACATTTTTAAAATCTAATCTTACTGTTTTCAAATGATATTATTTCTACTCGACTTTACCGTGGATCAGGAAAACAAGGAGAAAGGTAATTCTAAAGGAACATAGTAGGACTTTTATACCTACTCTAAATTATGAAAGTGTCTTCTGTTGATTTCAATAACTATGCAGTAAAACTTAATTAATTGGGAATTCACAGGACTATAGAAATGGTTAGCCCTTTTAAGTCCTAGACTTTGTAGACTAAAGGATCTTTCTTTAAATGAATTAGTGTCTATTTCTTAATACACCATGAAAAGCTAAAATAACTTCAGCAGTTTAAGTTGGGGATGACTGAAGAGTAATAGTTGGACCAGGTCTTAAATAGATGCAGAAAGTGTACCAGGGCTATTATTTATATTCTGGATTTTCCTGGTATCTCCCTCAACATTTTATGAAGACTTGAGAGACATGCTTTTTTTTTTTTTTTTTAAGGCAAGAACAGGAGAACCCTTAGGTAGCTTCCGATCCCACCTGAGTCACCATCTCTAACATATGCTCAGAAATTCAGGCCTGGGCCTGAAGTCATTCCTATAAGTGTTTAATAAAATCAGCATTGCATAAGGAGTGGCAGGGTAAAGGCCACGGCCTGCTGTGTCATCTCTCTCGTGCTGAAGATTTTCTTGAGGAACTTAGGACTCTACCAGCCAAACTGTCCTTGTGCTCAGAGAGCCTGCTAATAAGCCTGAGCTTAGAGCAGAAATTTCGATCGGTTCAGAAAGCATGTCACTAAAATAGGTTGGAAGGAACATTCCCCACACGTGTCATGGACATTCAATCCCTAGACAAAGGTGCATGTTGTCCTTTGGTTATGGTTTGGTTGTTTTAAGTAATAGGATCCTTAGTACTGAACAACTGTAGATATAGTAATATAAACAAATTATAAGTATGGGAAGAAAGGAAGAAGCTAGTCTCATTGTGCTCCTTCATGAGAAAGAAGGGCCTTGCTTCAGAATTTAAAGAAACTGAGCCCTTAGGCTGTTTGGCTCAGTGGATAGAGCACATATGGACTGAAGGGTTCTGGGTTCGATTCCAGTCAAGGGCCTTTGCATGGGTTATGGCCTCGATCCTCGATAGGGGACGTGTAGGATTCTCTCTCATCGATGTTTCTCTCTCTCTCTCTCCCTCTCCCTTCCTCTCTGAAATAAATAAAAAGAGTTTCTAAAACATAAAGAAACCTAAAGTTTCTTTTTGAGTACCTACTATGTGGTAAGCACTGTTCTTAGTCTGGGAACACAATAGTGACCCAAAAGCAATATAGTTTTATTAAATCTTTTTTTATTTGCTATATTTCCTACGTATGATTTTAAGAGTTTTATTCAGTCAATAAACATTTGCCTACGAGGTGCTGAAAACTTTGGGAAATGATAAACATACATAGGCAAATACGGACCCATTCTGTGAAGACAGATCTAGTTGAGATTCATAGAGTGGGAAAATTAAATGCTGTAGATGGGAAGAACTGCCTTCAGGTGAGGTAACATTCAGGGGAAATCTTGAGGGTTAGAGAAATTAGGGGAGTGAAGGTCTGATTGAATTGGGAAATGTGGACATTGCATGGGTCTTTTTTACAGAGCTTTGGATAGAAATACAAATTAAAATTACTTTGGGAAAATGGTTTATTTTATCTTTAATAGTTTAAAAAATAATTTTGATTGAAGGTATTTTGGCAAAAGTGAAAAATAACCTTTAAAATATTATACTAGTAACTTGTGGGGAATTTTAGGAAATATGAAATAAATGATGTATTACAATATGTATAACATTTTGAAGATTTATAATATATGTCTTTGTGTTTCTTAAGCAGAGTAAAGACTTTTACGAATTGCACTGTTGAGATTATATGTAGTTGAGATTATATGTAGATTATATATGTAGTTTTAATTAAGAATGTAAGGAACAGAAAATAAGTTAAAATGTGGTCTTAACATGAAAAAAGCAACTTCAGAAGTTTCATTTTTGTGTCTTTTTCTATAATCATTCTTCTAAAAATTCTCCAAGTTTATTTCTATTGATTTTTTTGTTGCGATTTTTCCTTATGACTTCAAGTGCTTTAATAAAAATTCCTCCCAAAAAATAAAATAACATTTCCACGCAGCACCAAAAATTATACTGATTTCTGTTTCTCCCAAGATACACATTATAAAATGGGTAAACATACCATCTTTACCAGATAAAAACATATCTATCTATGCAATTTATGGGAAGAAAAAGCACTAGATTCAGGAAGAAAACTCAAGTTTGAACACTAACTGTACAACTTGTTGGAATGTAACCTTGGGCAAACAGTTTAGTTGAGCTTCAGAGGTTTTTTGTTCATTTATGAACTGGTGATATTTTTTACTCTTCCTTTATGGGGTTATAGTGAAGTTAAAATGAGAGGTGGTTGTATTACAGAAAAGAAAAAATAAATTGTTTTAAGTAGAAAAATTGAATTACCTTAAATTTCTGAATTATAAACTTGCATATATTATGATGAAGAAATTTTCAAACTAACAACCTAGTGGTGTTAACTGATGCAGGCACTAAGCAAGCACGAGTTTATAGCTCAAAATAGTAATAATCTTGTTGGATATTTTAGTGTGTGGTTAGGTTTATATTATTTTTTCTCTCTGCCCTTGTTCAAGCTACTGGATGAGTTAAAAATACTGAAGTGGTTGCTGAATATTTACTTGCATTTTGAATTTAAAAATGATCCATTATTTACAGTACCTGGAATTTTCACATGATGTTGTTGTGCTGATACTTAACAGTCTGCCTTTGAGCCATTTAATGTTTGTCAAGTTTCCCAGCTTTGGATTTTAAAACACAATAACAAAAATGTGCCACTTATGTCATTTCTCACTTGAAATGAGATTATCGACTTTCACAAAATTTAGCTACGTAATTGAGAGGCATTTACAAAGAAACAGTTACTTTTGGGGGAAAAAATGTATCTCAGCCTATATTTGAAAAGTGAGATTTGAATATTTCAGTGGCTTAATTTTAC